ATGCAGTGCGCTCTACCAAGCGGAGTTAGAACCTCCCAGCTTTTCTCTCTCCATATAGGTCTCATCTTGCTCACGTGCTTTTTAATACTTTATGTCACTTTTGTGACAGATGATCTCTGCTAAACCTGTTCAGAAGAAGAAGTCTTGCTCATCTCATGTTTCTACTGGTTCCAGTAAGAGTTGGGCTGCTCAGAATTTTGCAATTTAGACTCTTGCTCCTGATATCAAATATAGCTATAGGAAAACAGAGACAAAAACCTGAATGTCAGATTCACGGCTGACAGAATATAGCACAACTCCTTTAATTTGTACCAGCTGATCGCATATTGAATACTTTTCATATCTTATGCTTTCACTCAGTGGCAAGGTGTGGAAAAAACATACTCAAAAATAATACATTTTTTATTTTAACTAATCTCATTAATATAAAGATTAGTTTGATGGAATATTTTTTTTCTCTTTATTACTAAATCTTCCCTAAACTTCAAGGTTTGGGAATCCAAGTATTTAATTTGGGGTCCTCTCTAAATAATCAACAGGATATCTGCACTACTTGGGAATACATGTATTATTACCTAATAACTGCCCTTTACATACCAAAAAATAATATTTAACTATAGGAAAAGTATATAGGAAAAGTATATAGCATGGTACCATCCTGCCAGGGAATGTTCTTTTGATACCAATATCTAAAATTTCAGAGGTCCAAAATTTTTGAAACATTTTCAAGAGAAACCTCAAAAAGGAGCCTTTAGGACACACCAGAACTGAATTCTGCTCCAGGTACTTGAACCAGAATGGTGTTCTTGCAAAAAGATTGGCACTTCTTGACTGTTATGTACTGTATCATAAATACTGTCTGATTTGTATGCCACAGCAAGAACCTTACATGGAGAAGAGGGGACTTTTACTCTGTACAAGAGTGGAAGATGATGGTGGTACAGAGAAGACAGAAATAACTTGATTTCTTTTTTTTTTTTTTTTTACACTGTTAGGAAAAACAGGTGAGCAGCCAAATTTACCTGGTAATGTTAATCCTGCCTCTCTGAGCAAAACATAAATTACTATCAGATTTCAACTTTATACCACTTCCAATTATAAAAGGACACAATTATGACAGTCTTTGGTCTGATTGCAAAATGTCTCTCAGCTTCCAGTAAGATGTAGGGTCTTCACCTGAAATCTATCAAACAAGGAGTTAATCATAGTTTAAGCTTCCCTGTCACAGGTACTTAGGAAAATAGGTATAAATTAGATGCCTGAGATTCTACATCATCTCAATTACTGGGTGAGAGTTAGCTGTTGCTTTAGCTGTGAGTATGAAGACCTGGGTGGTTACAGCGGTCAGCATTGTTTTGAGCAAAATTCTCTGTTCTTAGGGTGTTTCCTGTGAAGGAAACAGACATACCCTGTCACTTCTAGCTACACAGTTAGTTTTCTAGTGATGTTTATGTTTTATCTGAGGATATTTTTCCATGGCAGAATGTTATTTTCTTGTTCTAAGTTAGATGTTAACTTACTGCAGAAGAAGACAGTTTGGTTGGGAGGGGAGTGTATAGAGTTTTTTACTAATTGAATTATCACTGTTATTTAATTAGAATCTTGAAAGAGAACTTCCTTTTTTTGTAACATATAACCTATAATTAGAATATAACTTGAATGGTCTCAAAAGAAGGGAGTGCACTGCAGTTGCAGATACTAACATGACAGGATTCACCTCCCAGCTGCTAATGGATCTTTTCAGTTACCTGTGCCTCAATTTCCTCACTGACTACATAGAAAAAAAGGTGCCTTTTTCCCTTTGTTCCTAAACTGTAATCCCGTAGGAGACATCTCTGTTCACTAGGTACTACCAAAGTTTGCTTAAGCCCTCTAAAGGTGCCTCAAGGAGAACAAGAGGAGCTTGTCTTCAGTTTCCGTGTTCCCAATGACATGGGAGATACCTGCAGGACAGGCTCTTCTCCCTCCTTTTGTTTGGTAGAACCCAGCTCCTTATTCCATTACAGTGCTCCAGGCAGGCATGAGGACCTGACTTTGTGCCAAGCAGTGAAGAGGGGCTGTTGCTCTAAAGAGAGCAACTCATATATGACAAAAGATGATGAGTGTATACCAAGACCTGAAGGTAGCTGGAAGAAGTGGTGGCTAGGCTTCCACAATTCAGCAGCAGTAGTCTCTCAGGCAGCTGTACGAGTGGTACACTCCAATTTTAATCCACATTGCTGCCCTCAAACAGCTGTGGAAAGATTGTCTGAGGAGGGCTGGTGGCCTGATCATCCTTCAGTTTATGGACACAGGGCCTTGTAGACCCTGGAGGGCATCTGCTTGTATCCAAGTTGTTAAAGTGATTGCCATGCCTGCCACATCACAGCCTCACAGACATATGCTAGTGTTTGTGGTACTGTCAAAATATGCTTTAAAGCCCATTTCAGCAGGAAGCTTGCTTAGATTCTGTGCCAGGAAATGTTAATTACTGTGGTGCAGTCTTCTGTTTTCTGTGGTGCAATAACAATTAATTTACACCATTTGGAAAAACACTTACACTTTTTTATTAAAAATCAATAGAAGGAAATCAATACAGTGTAAAGTAGACAATATCAAAATGAAAAGCTCTTGTTTTTATACTTGGGCATCCCTAATAAAATTTCATTGTTGACTCAGGCAGCCTGTCCACTGTAATCTAATGAGAAGCTGCCTAGCTTCTTTTTAATGTTTTGGAAGTTACCATGTAGTGGGGCAGCCATTTTCATTCAAAGAATTCAATAATTAACCCCCAAGTTGTAAGTCTATGTGATGATGCAGATGCTGCTGCATTTGTTTCTCTGCATTGCATCACCTATGCCACTGGTAATCTGTGGGCTCTATTTTGAATCACGATGAAGGTTAATTTTTATTTATAGTTATAATTGGAAAAACACTAGCTCTAATGGAAACTGCTCCATTGCTAAAACGTATCACCGCAGAGTAAATTCCACATAAATTTTGGCATTTTAATAGGTCAGAGTAACACAAATGAATTGCTTCTTGCTGGGGAAATCTGTTTATTCTTCAGAATATAGTGATTTACTGGGACAATGATCTAAAAGAAAAAAATCCCAGAGTTGTTTTTTTCTACCATTGCTCCAACCGCATGAGGTGCTGCATAGCCTGGGAAGGCAGCTTATGCCAGTAATTTCGCGGTTCCTTGGCTCCCTGCAGCAAGGGCCAGGCAAGACCAGGGTTGCTGGGAGATATGCGTCCCAGCCCCTCAGCGCCCTGGCTCTGAGGGGGTAGGAGCTCTGGGATTTTTGCAGTGGTGATTCAGTGCCACAGCTCTGCCAGGGACATGGTCCCTCAGTGCACAGTGGGATGCTCCCAGCTGCTGCAATGAAGATGCTCTACCCTTTAAAGCACAAGCTGCTGTTCCCATCCCCATGATGCACTGCCATGTCTGCGTGTTTCTGAGTGCAGCCACCACAGCTATGGCTGGTCTTCTGGGAGTCAGCCAGAGCAGAACAAAATGGGATGGTTTGAGTCCTGTAAAAGCACTGATGTAAGCAGCTGGGGACATATCACTGTGGAAGGGCAGAGCACCATTTCCTTTCTGCAGATAGAACTATCAAGGGTTTGAGTCTGATGACTTTTTTTTTAATGCTGAATTGATAGAAGGTGCTTTTCAATATGTGTGAAATGATCCAGATATGATGGGAGATTTTTCAAAGCCAATAGACAACTCTGGTGGGTCATGACAGTGGGCTGGGAGAGCAAGTGTCACTGAGAAAGATGCATTAACTGGACTAATTTTAAAGGAATGGAGAACTCATAGAAAACTGCCAGAAATGCCTTCTGCTTTGCTACAGTGGTGCTGGGAAGCTAGACATGGTAACTGAACAAAAGGAAACACTCTGAAATACAGTCAAAGTTTTGCAAATTGGGAAGTTTGTTTTGAATTATCTCTAGAAATTTCAAAAGCTTGGCAATATGTCACTGTGATGCTGGGAGAAAAAAAAAAAAGAAAAAAAAAAAAAAGCTGTAATCTGTGTATGTCATTATATGCAAGTGTTCCCCTCTGCAAAGGGAACTATGATGTAACCAAAAGTTTGTTACTGTGGTGGATGAGTCCAATGTTTCCCTTTACCTTAAAAAAATTACAGTAGTCCATCTTGCTCTTTGCATGGGGTATTTTTCCTCCTGTATATCCTACCTGCATGGCCTTTATTTCAGTTTAAGTTTTGTTTTCTGTCTGGTAAAACATAATGGTTCCTTACCTTCCAATGCCTGATCCAGCTAAGCTATAACAAGCCGTGCAAAGGTACAATGATTACTATTATATAAGCCTTACAGACTCTTGAAATAAGGGTCCGAAGCATATTGTTAGCTTCAGACATATTAGCAAGCCCCACTGAGGATGTGATTTAGGGCACAGATGACTACCAGCTAAGAAAAAAATGATAAACTTTTTTTTTCTGTTTCCCTTCAGAGGGGTAATTGATCACTTGTGGAGTAACTTCTCTCAGAAACTATCACTTGATCTGTACTTGAAGTGTATAGGAGTGAGCTGTATGTTAGTAATCTCCTCCTACTGCAGAATTGATGAGTCGCAAGAAGACTGTAGGAGTTTCAAATAGAAACAGATGTTCTGTTGGACATCCTATAGCAGAAAATCAATAGTAGGTGAACCATAAGTAGGCCTTCCTTCCTGAGACGGCAACGCTGTGATAGCTGTGCAGGAACAAACTCACCGTTGGACTGGGCTAGTAGAGGTGACATTAAGACAATAAAGTTTTTGTGGCAGGCTTATCAAACATCCACTATTTGCCTTACCTCAGGTAAAGTAGGTGCTTTGCATGATGCTGTTTAATTACCTTTCAGAGGTATTGTGTACTGATTTCCATCTGCAGCTGGAGGAGGCTGCTTTTCAGTTATAAGCATAGTCCTAAGTTGTTGTATGGATATACCAGGTAGAAATGCAAAGGTAAAAGCTCTGAAAACACATGGTAAGATGTTAACTGCCCCAAGGAACTTAATATTTATCTCATCCTGAAGAAGGATGGCTAGGGAAAGAAGCAGGAATGAAGCAATGTTTCTGCTTTTATTCAGAAGTCCACATGGGATTAGGAGCAGAAATTGAGTTTTCCAAATGTTACAACAAACATATTTAAGGATCCTTTGGAATATAAGATGCTTTACAGACTTTAAGTATTTCACTGGTTCTCACATTCAGGTAGTGTAGTGTGGCACTCTGTGAATGTGCAGGAGGGATTTTCAGATGATAGTCCTTTCTTTCTTTTAATGGATGTCACAATACAGAGAGAAATACTAAATGCAAGCAAGCCCTATGGTTTTGATTGTGGTTAGTCTGACGGTTCTGGTTTGCTTTAAGTGGAAGCTGATGAACAATGGTTTAAAAGGAGAAAAGGAAAACGGCCCCAGCACTGAGGTCAGTCAGCCACTTCCTACATCCAGCTGTTTCAGTTTATTTTTTTAATTAAGTTTGGCTTAAATTAATGATGACAGTTTAAAGAGAACTCTTTCACCTATTTAGCTGACTTTACATCTGAAACCAAGTCCCTTCTGTCCAACTGCATTTTGTTACAAGATTTGCAGTTAAGTCCCTAAAAGTTCCTGGTTTCTCCCCACTTTATTTTGTCATCTTTCTGCTCTGTTATTGCCCTCTGCCCTTTAGTGCCCTTTCAAGGGAGGGCTAAAGCTATTGCTGCTGCAGTATGGAAACAAAGTGCCTCCTAATTGATCGTTAATACTGCCGGAGAGTGAGGATGTTGGGAACTGCCAGATCAAGCCCATTTACTCCAGCTTCTGGGTCAGCTCTTCAGCTGGTATAAATCAGCCATCCTTCTTGGCTTCTTAACAGTTGAGTGTAGGCTGTGACATTGAGGAGTTGGTTCTGGCTCTGTAGCCTGGTGCTCTGTGCAAGCACCAGATCCTACAGGGCTTTTGTCTAGCAATGAAGGAATGCTCCCTGGTCCAGAATAGTGGTGATTTACGTCCAGAAGCCTTAAAATTAGTAGCTCTAGAAGTATGTGTCAGCTCCCCAATTTAGGTGATGGGGGAAAAGAAACAGCAGCAGTCTTAATTTTCAGAAAAAAAATGCAGCTGGAACAAGAGCTTCTCTGATCCTATCAGACAGCACAAAGATGCACTCAAGTGCATGGTTCTGATTCTCTTGCTAAGCCTGTGGAGTGTCTGCTTTTTTCTATAAACTTCATACTTGCCATAGAGAAGGAAAGAGTTCCCTGCTCTGGGGGTTCTGGCTTCATTCTCATGGAAATTACTTAAATTCCTCAAAGCTATCAATTTAAGCATTTCTCTGTAGGCCTGACTGCTTCTCTTTCCAGACTAGAGTAATTTTTTCTTAGATGGGGAGACTTCACCATAGTGCTTAAGGTAAGAGCTGATAACTCATCACCAAAATAATGAATGAAGTGCCACTCCTTGTACCTTTCCATAGTTTGCTAGGAAAGCAATAAGAATTGCATCATCACTCATTGCAGATATAAACGTGATCATTATGTGTGCAGTCCTCTGTAAACAGTAAAACCTTAAAGGTTCCTTAAATTGAAACAAATCCCATGGCCTGAGCAGTCCCAAGTCTTGTAAGGCATACAAGGTTTTCTAGGGAACAGTCTTTGACTGGAGTCTTAAGAGGACTGTCAAAACAAGCAGACTTGTGGTGTTTTGGTCATTAATGAGACAGAATTACATTGTCTCTCCAGAAGACAGCAGAGGTAGGGCTGTGCTTAGTAAGATGATAGAAAGAAATCAGTCCTATGAGCTGATCTGAATCCATGACAGAAACTGGCATGAGCTAGGAAGAACAACAGAGGATGATCTCCTGGGTAAGTCTGTGCACTTTTACCTTTTTTTTTTTTTCTTTTGCACTTTTTTTGGAATATAGCTTCTTAGTTACATCTTGGTAATCAGTGTAAATGTTTTGTGATGCCTGATTATAAAGACTTTGCAATGACAATAATAAAAAAAATTACATGTTGTTATTGAAATGACTGTGTGGCTGATGTAAGATCAAATGTAGTCCACAAATATCAGGTGAAATCTCCTGTGTAGATTTCTGGGCCCAATTCAGTTGAGAAAATAAATAGCTGTGAAGGTATCATTATATAAAGATGTCATAAATTGGAATTAATGGCAAATTGCCACAACTTGCAGTAATTTTCTACTTTTTGTGTACAGATCTGGCAAAAGTAGTTGAAAAAAAGGTCCCTGTCTCTGCTCTCCTTCAAAAACACATGAACTATCTACTTTATTTTGGATGTCTCTTTTCTGCTTCATTATCAAGATATTTAAAATGAATTTTAAACAAAAATAGAAACATTTGAAGAACGGAATGACATGCTGCTTTATTTCAAGCCAATCTCCAGAACCTATTTCAGTGTACTTTGCACAAATTCAGAATTAACTTTGACTGAATTGAACTGTACTTTTTTTTTTTTTATGTTCCTCTGTGATGAAAATCTCTTCTTCACTTGAAAAAAAAACTTCTTCAGCTGTACTTCTGGTCTTTGTCTAAGGTGTTAACAACCAGACTCTAGCACCTTGTTTTCAATTTTGCCTCTGCTGGAGACACTACTTAAGCTTAGGCTTTTCTTTTATTGGCAGTAGCTACAATGATCTAGACTTTAATCACCAGCAGCTGTAGAAATGAGAATAGGATTGCAAAAGTTCCCTCAAAGATCCATTGAATTCACATCTGCATGTGCACTGTTTTTCTAGTATAACACTCCAATTCAGCAAGGTTTTTAATACCTTGGGAACTCATTCTTGGCTCTTTTCCCACCTCTGGGTTAAAATCAAGCGTAAAATACTTATTGTACAGGGAACAGTGATGCGAGCTGAGCAGAGTATCTTTTGCCTGGCTTATTTCAAAGTAACATTTTACAGAATTTATTCTATGGTTTTGCAGAGCTACAAACCTACACAAAACTCTTCCTGAAATCAACCAGACTCATTGTGTTAGCAAAGCTTAGTGGATGCAGAAATAGAACACAAATGAGTACTTGGTCTGGTATTTAATATCCAGCCTTTCACATTGTAGATAGTTGGTAAAACACAGAAGGGAATTTGCAGACTGGGATTACTGGGCTCTGGACCACTTTAAAAGCTACTGTTCAGTAATGCCCATCCCACCCCTCAGGCAGAAGTTGCTGTAGCAGGGGTGCAGAACAGGTAGCTTGCTCTTGGGCCATTGCAGTTGACAGCATGGTGTATTAACTTCAACAGGCATTGATTTCAATTTATGTTAACATGCTGGGCTGTGAGCTGCAGCAGGAGGGGTCTCTGGTTCGTGACTCCTGTCAGATTCAGAAGAGCTGAGGTTATCACCTCAGCAGTAACCTTTTTAGCCACCAGAGCTGAATCCAATTCAATCATGAATCAGTGTCCTTAATTAATTCTCCTTTATAAAGGCCCAATGCAATTGTACTGATGTCAGTGGAAGAAAAAAAAAAAAGTTTGATTGTTTCTTCAATAATAAATAATAAAATTTTTAAAAGGAGATAAAAAGCTAAAACCAAATGTGTCACTGGGGAAAGGAATGGGCCATTAATATATATCATATTTATTTAAAAAAAAACTTGTGTGTTAACAATTTAACCCTCACAGTTTCTTAGGAGGAAAATAATTACTGCTCTGAAGGACTGACTTACATTCACTGAATTCCTTTAAACCAAATGACTCTATTTGAAAGGTAGGAATACATTTTTAGTGAGAAAAATTATTCCTAAGAAGTAAACTGTCTTAATATCTGAATAGACCTCTCCAGTCTTGACATAGATGTATGCTTAATATTGCATATGCAAGAACTGTGAAGAGAGATCAAATCTACAAAGGAAGGTATAAAGTTTTGGTAAAGACTAAATTCTGAAGATTATTATGGATAAGCTTTGATCGCAAAAAGGTCAGCATTGTTGTACTCTTGAATACAGACATATCAAAAGAGGTTGGAAAGGAGAAGTGCTGCTCCAGAAAATGTCTTTCACTTCGGTCCTTGGGTGTCCTTACATTCTCCTGGCATTGTTAGGAAGTAAATCACAGTTAAACAAGTTAACTGATGCTTGAAAGCTCTGATGTGTGTCTTGTCTGTCTGTCCATCTTGAGTTTCACTGCTGCACAGGGGATTGCCCATGTTGCCCAGTAATGAGAGAATAAAACCTGTGGCACCAGGATCCTGAGGGATGGACATGGGAGCAACCCAGTTCTCATGCTACAAATTCACAACCCTGGGTTTTATATAGTGTATCTGGATGTTGCAGTGAAAGCAAAATAATTCTTCAAGTTCAAATTAGGACATATTTAATCTTCTTTGGAAGTAACAGCAAAAAATAAGCTGTTGTACTTTTAAAGAGAAATCCATCAGAAGTAGATCAGCGCACAGGCCCAGAGTGACCTTCCTCTGTGGCTGTGCCCTGAATGTACACACCTTGTGCAGGGCAGGCTGGCCAGGAGCAGAAATACGCAGAGTCCACGCTGGGCCATGACTGATAGTGACAAAGTAAGCTAAGATGAAAGAGACTTAACAATAGTTAAATTAGGATGGAGAAAATCTTGTATAAAACAGCCTCAGTTTGGTCCGTCTCTAGTATGGCTCCAAGTTCATTGGCAGGCCTATATGGCTCTGAGAGAGTTGTAGACAACAGAAATGATTTTGCCAGCCTTAAATTGCTCAAAGTCAGAAGTAGCAACAAAGTGAGGCCTGGGTTGAGCAGCACAGGCCAGAAGGCCTTGGTGCATTTATTAAAAGAGGCTGCCTAAAGCCCTCCACAAGACTACTGCAGGGTCCCCATCTGTGGTGGCAGAGGGCCAAGGAGCAGCCACCGTTGTGACATGGCTCAGCTGAGGCTGGAGTCACCAGGACTCCAGCCTGAGGTTCAGGGCACCAGGACTGTAGTGAGGACAAGCCTGAGGGCAGGGATGTCTGCATCCCAGGACTAGGAGCAGCCAGGTTCCCCCCTGGCTTTGGAGACGTGTAGGAGCCTGGGCCTGTGCGCTGCAAGTGAGGGAAGAACTTTCCAGAGTCACAGCTGCCCCTGACAGCCTGAAGTGCCTGTGTGCAGTGCGGTGGTGGCGGGGACAGCCCTGCCTGCACACTGGTCACAGGACCACAGCGAGGTGCAGGTTGTGTAAGGCCTGGCAGAAACATTCCTCAGAGACATCACTGACAGAGGGGGAGAGGAAGGGAAGCCATTTGCAATCTGAGGTCTGCGACTCTCCAGCTAAGAGACAAGCTGGGCAATAAGACCCAGGCAGAATGCTGGATTTTTTTTTTTTTAATGGGTTAAAACAGAGCGAGCTGCGGCAAACAACACAGTGGATTTATTCAGCTGCAGGAGCGGCACACAGCAGGTGCCTTGGAGGGACAGAGGGAAGGAGCAGAGGAAAAATGAAAGAGGCTGAGGAGAGCGAGCGGCCAGGGAGAAACCTCTGGAAGGTTCGGGCATGCAGTCGGCTGCGCTCATGCTTTATGTCACTGCAGAACATTAAACGAGCACTTAAAAAGGTAATTAGCACCTTTTCATTGGACCAGAAATCAGAGGTGTAATTTACCAGAAGTCAGTGAACAATGTAAGAGATCTAATTTAATCACGTTGCGTAGCTTATCCAGGGTGAAAAATGAGAAGCCTAGCTTGGCTGAGTGGTTACGCCTGCAGCAGAGCCATTTCTGGCCCCCCCGCAGGACAATGCTGCCGCTACCTGAACTGCGCTCGGTGCAGGGCCGAGGCGAGGCTCAGGGTACTTGTACCACTTGAATTTTATGGCATCATTTTCATTGTTTCACAGTAAAAGCAGGAGGTCTGTGATATACAGGGGATAAAAAGCTCTTGTCTAGAAAAGGTAAAAAATTATAGCCAAAATTCTGCAATGTAGTTGAAATCTTCTCTTCCAGTGCCTCTACACAGATCCTCCCAAATTCAGGTAGAAGGGGAGGAAACGGGCTTTGTTTGAGCTCAGTGTAGATGAAGCCTGCTCTTTCAATATTCATAGTTCAGTTTAGACTGTCCAGTCCTGCCTTTAGGGTTTGGAATGGGTGATTCAGCTTATTTCTATTCTTTGTACCAAGTGAAGTGTTCAAAAGATCGATAAAAGGAGGAGAAAAAAACAACTATCAAAATTTAAGTGCCATATAAAGAAACTAAGCTTTAACTCAGTTACTTTTCAAGCTGTAGCTGTAGCACAAGGCTTGTTACCTTTATTGGGATTTCTTAAATAAAAACGTGAACTGTGTATGAGCACAGTTGTAAACTCAAGCTGTTAGCTGACTAACAAAGCTGCAGTACAGCAAATCATGTTCAACATTACACCACCTAATGAGGATTAAACTTCGTCCTCTGAACACTACTACCTTTCCAAGATTTCTGACTTTTTTTTTTTTCTTCTATATCTTTGTATGAGTTTCTGTGGCAGCTTGGAAAACCTGGAAGACGTAACCACAGTGGCTAGAATTAAACCTGCTGATCATACTGGCCACCTCTCAATAAGCACAGACAGTTCCTCTGCTATTGCTTTTTTTAAAGGTCTTCACAGTTGTGCTTGAGAAAAGAGGCAGCTGAACCTCAGCAGCAGAGCAGTACTCTCTGTCCTCAGGTGCAGCACCTCTGTTGGCAGCTGTAGTGTGGCCAGCACAAGATAATGAACTTGGAGATGGTGTGGTCTGTACTAAACATGTCAAGAGAACAATTTCTGCTGACTTATTCATCTGGGTGAATAGCCCAGACAAATAGTAATCAGTCCAAACAAATAAGATTGGAAAAAGTAGTAATCAAATTTGATGTGGCAATCTCTGAAAGAGATGCAGTTTACTTAAGAAAAATTCAACAAGCAATAA